ATAGACTTACCTCCACGTGGTGCACCCTGGGTAACGTATACTCATACGGCAAAAAAATCTATCAATGGGCAGTTGACTTCTGACTTCCAACTACCAGGACCCCATTGCATTTCGTATTCGACTAGTTCCACAGTTCTCTCCTCACCTTTTTTCTACCTTTGTGTCTGACTGTCTCTTTTACATCTGTGAATCATTATTCTGTCCCCCTCTCGACTTTTTGCCACTTTGATGTTCCTCTTCCTTTCTGTGAAGCCCGAAGTGAACTAAAGGGTTAATGATACCTATCATAACGCCTGCCATTTGAAATAAATTTTGAAGGTGCACACTGTTGTAGCAGATAAACCCGTTTTATGCTTCTGTTAATCAATTGTACAAATACTGAGTTGTTAGGCACAAAATGTTCTATTTTGACAGTCATTACAAACAACTATAACCATATAAAACAAAATTATTTGAAAGTTAAGTAATTTTGAAATTGAGAATAGGAAATTCTTTGGGATAAAAATCTGCTAGTGCGAATTGGAGGGTCAATTATCCTGAGACCGATTGGAAATTGCCCAGATTAGTGAGGGTATAAAAAAGATTGCATTGGTTTAAATTTATTCAAAATGAATGTAAAATTTAACGCAAAAGTTATTGATGATAAATAACTTGAAATTCAAAAGCATGTGTAGAACAAGCGATTTGTTTCACATTGCTATAAAATCAACGAATTTATCAAGCAGGGTAAAAATATCAGGAAACCTAAATATTTTAAAGTACGACCTTTAAAAGGATATTGACCGAGCAAAAACAAAACATTAAAGAATACGTTTGAAATCGTTGAAAAGGAAAATAGACTGAAAATCGTCTTTTAGGAAACAAAGATTGTTTTAGTTATCCGTGGAAAGGTATAAAAGCTTACCAAATATCTAAAATTATGCATATTTTATATAAGATCGTCAAATTTATTCATAAAAATCGATTTTGGCTTTAATTTTAAAATATTTGCATTCGTTAAAAGTGGCCTTATGCCAAGATGGTATTCCATAATTCCCTTTTAATTAAAGTGATAACAAACTATTTTGTAAAGAGTTAAATTGTGCCTGATGGGGCATTAACTTCACAAAAATTTAGAAGATAAGCCCTGGCGTGGGAAAAATTAGTTTTGCCACAAATACAGCATTCACCAGTAAAAAAACATGGACTTCCCTCCTGTGCCTGTTTGTTTCCCCTTTCGATTAAAAACGCGCTATAAATGAGCTTGCTCGCTTTAAAATTTTGGTTTAGAGTGATGAAATCTGTTCCAATGCGTTCATAATTCTGAGTAACTTAGCAAAGGCTTTATTGAAGCACATTTTAAATTTGGAGAAAATATTAGCGTAGAGATGGCATATTAAACCTATCAAGTTGATCATTTTAAGGCAATGTTTGAAGACTTTTTATGCTATGTAGGCAGTTCAACGACAGCTTATGACAGTGTCTCGCTAATCAAATTAAACGTAGCTTCAGCCACCTCTAACCACCTAACTCTGTGTAAAGGTTTCAGAACCTTATTTATTTATTTATATCAAATGGTAGGCTTTATGGCAGTTACCATTCGCACTTTAGTTGACTTCCTACTTTATTCTCTTGAGATCAAGTAAATACTCTCTACAATTGCATACTTTCCCTCGGTTTCAAATTAGATAATGAAAAAATATAATATTTCAATTTAAAATTATCCAGCAGAGATGAGAATTTTTAAATAATTGATAAATAATAATATCCGGTAGACACGCAAGAGGGTTATATAAATTTCGAAACAAAAATAGGAAATCCTCAACAAATATATCTCAACAAATAGATTCAAAGTAAACAATATTTTAGAAGATTAAAATCAAATCTTTTTAAAAGAAACATGGGACGCTGTGTTAGCTAATCAAGTATTTTTCGAGTTTCTGGTTTGCATTTTCACTTTATTACTAAAAGAAGTCATAATTTGGAGAATAATTGGATTGTAATTTAAAATTCACTAAGGACCAATTAGCATTAGAGTGTCTGACTTTGAGGTGCCATCAAAAATTCTCAAACATAATTGTGAGTTTTTCATTCCAAGGCCAAGCTTAAAGAACTTTAACGCACAAATCTTTAATCTTGCTTCCTTTTTCCCATGACTAAATTAAAGTGGAAAATGTTTCCTTAAGGAACTGCCTAATAAATTCGGATAAGTGAGAAATTAAAGCGAACAAAGGGCTCGGCTACCACATCGCGTCGTTGACTTCCTGTCTTGTGTTAAAATAATTGGCCTCTTTTAGGATTTCCGAGAGTGGATTAGATAGATTCAAGAAAAGTAGAACTCTTACCAAGTAATATCCACCATCAGAAGAACATCAGTAGGTTGATCAAATTCTTGAGGGTACTTAATCGGCTTTTAAAAGTAACGCTCGACCTCATAAATATTCAAAATTGTGAAAGTTTGTATTCAAGTACTGGGCAGAGTTCTCAACTACATCCAATCCATCTTTTTTACTTTTGAGGAGAATGATTATTTCTTCATCTCTTTCTTTCAACCACCTAAAATAGTTCATCTTCTTTCTTACTGCAAATCTGCATTTCTATCCAGCAGCAATATAAAGGCATCAGATGATTAGCTAAAGCCAACATAAATCCCCAAGAATCAAAAGTCTACGTGTTTGCCATGAATACGCTGCCGACCCTTATAACCTTCTTAATTATTTATTTTTTCCAGACAAACCGAAAATTCCTTAATCGATACTGAATTGAAAAGGGCTAAAATTTAAACTTAATGGGTCTAAATAGTTATTTATAAAGCATCTATTCAGTTTTACAACATTTAGATCAAAAATTATTACTATTTCAAATGGCAGGCTTTATGATATTTATCATTACCCCCCTAGGGGGGGGGAGGGGGGGACATATATATAAAGGCTTTAAGACGGTTAACGGTAGTTCATTAGTTGTCTTCTGGCTTCCCAGTATCTCTGGGTTTCCGTCGTTGTCTTTAGGGCTGGACACCGAATCAGGTGGGTCTTCTCCATTTCCTCCTGTAGGTTACATAGGGGGCATGTGGGTTGAGTGTATACTCCCAATCTGTGAAGGTGTTTTGCCAAGCAATCGTGTCCGGTACGTAGTCTTAACTCGGCAACGGCTTCGATTCTTGACCAGTCGGCTAGGTCGGAGAGTGCCACTGTCCACTGTTTCTCCTTTATTCGAGCTTTAAATTCTTTGCGCCTTGAGGTCTTGAATTCTCTCCTGATCGGGAGAGTGCCACTGTCCACTGTTTCTCATTTGTTCGAGCTCAAGTTCGTTGCACCTTGAGGTCTTGAACTCTCTTCTGATTAATTCTTTGCGCCTTGAGGTCTTGAATTCTCTCCTGATTAAGGCCTTCATTTCTTGAGGTCTTGAATTCTCTCCTGATTAAGGCCTTCATTGTGTGTGCCTTGCAAAATCGTTGTCCTCTTCTTAGCAAGTGCGTCAGTACGCCCATTGCCTTTAATCCCATAGTGTCCAGGGATCCATTGTAAAACCACTGTTTTGTTTTTCTCTCTCAGCAGCTGATGGAGTTTTTTACATTCATATATCTCGGCCATTTTGAGTGGCCCTCTGTTTCCAATTAAATTTATTGCTGACTGTGAGTCCTAAAGAATTATTGTTTTAGTGAATTTAGTAACCAGCTGCTGAGACCAAAGAGAATACTTCAGAGTAAACACCTGCAAAAACGTTTGCTTGGTTTTCTATGTATGATCCATCAGTGAAGACTTGGAGCCATTGGTCTGCAGGATAATTCGCATTAATGGTCTCATGGGTCAATGAGCACATTTGTTCTGGAGGGGTATTTGCTATCCTGAAATGGCCAATCAGTTGGGTGCAACATTGTACATCAGTGTCTGCTAATGGGTTTTGGGATATAGAGAGACTTGTTAGTTTTTCATCAATTCAGAGTGATTTCTTCAGTTCTATAGTTTTCTGAATTAGACCAGATTGCTCTTTTAGGTGTCTTGGCCTATTTTCATAGGTGTTGAAGAATTTGTCCATAGGAATGCGCTGTAGCTTCTCATACAGGATCAATGCTTTCTCTTTGATAAAGGAACGTATTGTGGTGTTTCCTTGTAATCAGGAGCATCGCATCAATGGGTGTTGATTTTATCTCCCCAGTAATTAGTCTCAGTTCTTGGTTGTGCGTCTTCTAGAGTGGCTTGAGAATCGCCTCAGAGGCTGTAATGAGTGGCTCACAGCAATGCAGCATTATTTGTTAAGCAAACATCTTTTAAGTGGTCTTTAGGGTTGAGAAGAGCAATAATTCTATCTGTATTTTCCATGGGCTTAAACTTGTACCGATTAATCACGCTTCAACTTACTGAGTTGCTGATGAGGCAGACCACGGGGTGAACATGTTCTAATTGCAGCACCTGTCGGTGTTTTGTGCAAAGTTACATAAGTTGGGGGGGGGGGGGGGGGGGAGGACAAATATCAATGTCAAAGGCTGCCAGACAGGTCACCCAGGCGCCTGGAGATCAGGGGTGATACCATGTAATCACTTTAACTTGAACTATCTAATACGTGTTCTCCTATGTGCTAGTTTGCAAATAAGTATACAATATTAAAATGCCACATAAATTTTGACTTTATTAATAGGGAACTTAAGGGCTTACCTCTTCTCAACATTTAATATAGCCAACTTGGGGATTAGTTAAACGCCCTAAATACCGTAATCAAAAATAGGTTTTAAGGGCAGTGAGTCACCTGTCACCACCCAAGTGACTGAGATTTCTATATCTTCAAGAACGAAATGCCTCATTGTTCACGCATAGTTCGATGTATCGCATAAATAAGTTTAGAATGGAGTTCAATTGACCACTTTTTAATCATTTCAATACTTTTTGTGATCTTTTATTCTATTTCAAGGAATCGCAAACAATTGGGCATGTATATATATATATATATATATATATATATATTGAAAAATCCATAGGATACTATTCTTATTCACATGGTAATCCTAAATAATTTATCATCGATAAGATCAGTCCTTACTAATGGAGGAATCGTTTTTTACTCCTTCAGCACCTTGAATTTGCAATTCAACATACAATGCTTCATAGCAAAAATGTTTAAACAAAAAGCAAGATGAAATATGAATGTAGGACTACATCGCTGAGAATTTTATTAGGGTTATGGTAGAGGGAGAGAGAGAGATCAGCTAGTTTGATTACTTGAGATCAATGAAAAATAAATAAGTCCAGTTTCGCCCATCTTATTCCCCAGTAGTGCCCTCAATCGCCCAAAGTCAAAACATATTTACTCCCCTTAAAGACCATTTTAAGAAAGTCAAAATCACTTCCGATTTCAGTATTTATTCATAATCCGGCCTCTAAGGCACTGCAATGGAGCAGACAAGATGCCTCTATCTGTTGGCAGTAATGTTGACTGCCCAGTTCGGAACAGTATCCAGATTAAACAACGCCACGCCGTAAGTCATCGTGCAAACGGTCACAATGATTTGAGCCAGCAGATTAAGTAAGAATCCCGTTTTCATCTAAAATATGCAAAGATATTTGTTGCCAATCATGGGCAACTTTAATTAAATCAGTCTTTTTTAAAAAACATGTATGACAAAAATTTAAGTTAAACTGTACACTCTTAATGAAGAGTTTGAAGAAAATGGCTTTTCATGTCTTGCACGATCAGAAGTTGTGACGTTTACACGCTAACTGTTTTGAAGTTGGCCGATAAGTATAGACGCTTCCTTTCAAATAACAAGGATTTTTTAATAAAACTAGTGAATCTTTCCTATATTCTTCATACCCTATTGGTGGTTGGTGCACCAATTAGAGCGAGGACTTATTTTACAACTTTGTGAATAATCATTTGAGGTCGAACATGTGCAATTTCCTAGATCAATTATAGTCGTTTTAAATTTTTTATGTTTATATGAGTTATAAGATGTTTCCGAACGAATACTTTCACGACACAGAGCTCTCATTATTGTTTTATCTTAATGAAATGAAATGAAAATAAACGTTTTTTATCTCTGAAAGATTTAGGCAACTCTAATTTGCCAGTAAACGTACGAATTGAACTAATTTGGAATATTAAAACCTATGATTGAAAACTTCTTAAGGTAAAATTAAGAAAATTATCATCTTTTGCGAAACGAATGTTAGGGATATTTTATATTTTCGTAATGGGGTGCGCAATAGACTTACCTCCACGTGGTGCACCCTGGGCAACGTTTACTCGTACGGCAAAAAAGCCTATTAACTGCCAGTTGACTTCTGACTTCAAACTGCCATGACCCAACTGTATGTCATATTCGACTACTTCCACAGTACTCACCTCACCTTCTTTCCACCTTTGTGTCTGTCTCTTTTACATCTTTGAAACACTCTTCCACTACTCCCCCCCCCTCTCGACATTTTTCACTTTGATGTCCCTCCTCCCCCTGTGAAGCCTGAAATCAACTAAAGGGCTAATGATAACTACCAAAACGCCTGCCATTCGATATAAATAAATAAATATTTTTGCAACTGTTATTCTTGCGATACCAGAAGAAGAAGCGCAAACTTTGACATCGAGAATGGTGAAAGAATAACTTTTAACACCCCTCCAGCTTACCGAGCAGTTGTCTAATGCGATTTCTAAGTTTGTGTTTGTAAATTCAAATTAAATTTGTAAATTCACTAGAGTTCCACCTGCGTTTGCGCTCTGCTAATCGGCCAGAAAAATGAATGAATGAATGAATGAATGAAAGGTGTAAATAGGCGGTAAAGTTGAAGCCTGGGGAGTGATTGAATGCGTGAATTGGAGATGAGATTATAAAGTTGACGACGCACCATTTCAAGCAGGCGAACGCGACCCTTGGCAATAATGATGGCGTTTGGTGGGGTGGCGGCAGGCAAGGTGAACGCCAGGGAGGTTGCCATTACGAGAGGAAGTGCCAGCGTCAACGGATGAAGCGATAATTTACTCGCCTATTTGAATACAATTCACATGGAGATAAATTTGCTATTTTAAGGCTAACTTAAGTTAATTTGATGATTTTCAATTCTGAATGGCAAATATTTATAATGTGGCAAAAAAATATACATCGGTTATCTAAATATAAAAAACTGATTTTTGATGTCTATAAACCAGCCGTTGACTTCTAACTACCATGACTCGACTGTATGTCATATCCGACCACTTTCACAGTACTCACCTCACCTTTTTCTCTACCTTTGTGTCTGTACACAGTACTCACCTCACCTTTTTTCTACCTTTGTGTCTGTGCTGTACTCACCTTACCTTTTTCTCTACCTTTGTGTCTGTCCATAGTACTCACCTCACCTTTTTCTCTACCTTTGTGTCTGTCTATCTCTTTTACGTCTTTGAAACACTCTTCTGTCACCCCCCTCTCTCCACTTTTTCTTGTTTTGATGTTCCTCCTCTCTGTGAAGCCTGAAGTCAACTAAAGATCTAGTGATTACCATCACAAAGACTGCCAATAAAAGTAAGACGTCCCACCATTCGTTGTCAATTTTCTTGTGGAAATTCAAGCGCTTATTTTCATTTCTCCTGAACAGAATATTTATAGGTATATATGGATATACTGATGTAACTATTAATAAACCTTTGCCTGCTAAGTCCATATTGTGTTGCTCATTTCTGGTAGAGATTAAGCATCATGAAAACTGTCTAGTGGAAAACTAAAGTTTAGCAACTTTTATTTATTAGGATCAGTAATTGTAATTAATATTTCTGTTTACTGCAAGGCCACCGGTGAATACTGAATCTATGACCTCTGGATACGCAAACGACTTCCTTCAGGAGAAAGAAATCGCATACGCAATCAGACAGATTTGAAAGTGCAGCTGTGTTACTTGTCACCTATGGGACAAATGCGGTCGTGAGTCCAGAGGCCTGTCAGTCAGTCCCTGCATTGTTTAACAAGCCCTTCATTGCAAAATAACCACTAAGCTCCATGTCAGTGACAAACTGCCAAAATAAACGTACTCCATGTCATACGCCTGCCTTCTCTATAGAGCTTTGCCATAATTTTTCTAATCCTGGGAGATCTCGCGATTGAGATTGTTGAGCATAAAGTCAGGTTTATTAGTGTAGTAGTACGCTACAGTGGAATCATAATTAATCGCACTTTTAATTATTGTACGACTGTTATTCTGCATCCTTGCAATACTTGAATTGAATCTCTCTTCAATTTAATTAAAGTTTATGGTGGAGGTAGATTCGACGTACTAGATAGCCTTGCAAATTTAACTACCTATTAAGTCCCCTTAGTTGATGTAAGTGCTTAAACTGACAAATTGGAGGCAAATTTATCTTCCTACTGAAACTTGTGCAAAAGTACTCCGATCAAGCTACTCTAATTGGTCAAAACCAATAATTCAATCTAAATAATTTGAAACTGCTTGGCATCAGGCCAACCAGTGCCACTCGACTGCTTAATCCTCAATGGCTTTTTTCGCTCTTGCTGGCTTCAAACGAGAACGAAATGTACTTTATCACATGCGTTTATTCGTCGCCTGACCAATAAACAAATTTCTTTGTGATAATGCACTTTTCAGTTTTAAGCAAAAATAATAGCTTTACCCCAAGATGAGATTAAAATAACAATTAAATGGTAAAATAATTTAATTGCATCAGTTAACACCATTAACCATCTTTATGTGAACTTGAATGGACACTATTGAGCTCTAAGGCAAGTCGTATCTACTATCAAAATTCTAGATTATCTTAGAAATTGGAAGAATAAATAATTAGAAGTGTATTATCTAAATTGTCTAATTAGCTCTAAATCTCCGTACAGTAAATCCGAGTTCCCTTTGGGAAAGGAGTATAAATCCTGAAGTGATGATATGAGTCTTACTTTCTGAATCTCTATGGCAATTATAAGTATGAATGAAGATAAATAACAAAGGATAGTGGCATAATTTTCCCCGGAAAAATAAATGATCGATATTGATTTATCGGTTTAAAAACAAGCCCACAAGTTCATACATAATTGGCGTATCTACGTTGAAATATGTTTAATCGAACTCGAATGGGCTCTATTTTGCCAAGTTATATAGATTATGAAATTAAATGATTAAATTGTGTAAGTCACTTTTAATGCACTGGTTCTAATATCCTCTTCCACTATATTCCCTCCTTTCCTTAATCGATGTATTTAACTAATTTACGATCTCCTGTGTTCGTTTGCTTTCCAAGAATAAAAGTTGTAATGATAATTCATCTGATCTCAATCACTTATTAAATTAAATTATGCCATAGGTAGGGGAAAAGGAAAAAAGGTCGAATTATAAAAGTTTATGACATAAAAGTTAGCATTTTATATCCATCTCACTCTGTTGTGAAAAAAGACAGAGTGTGTGGGTTTATAAAAAATCAATCTTAATTCAACGTATTTGTCATAATAACTGAAATTATCCATAAGAAGAAATAGGCAGTACATATTTTAAATACTGCTTAGATAAGTTAAAGTAGATTAATTGTGGAAATTTAGATTAATTATTCTAATTAGATTTTGCCAAATATTTCCAACTTCTTCGCGATTTTCTGTTGAAAAATTACAAACACCTCAACTCAGTGTATAAAAAAGAAACATTTAAGAAAGTAGACGCTTCCAAATGTAACTTTTTGAAGAAAATTAATAATCATGAGGAAATCGTTAGAGCTATTATTCGTCCTTTTTGAAGAAGACAACAAACTCACGAGTTCGAACATGATGGGAGTGAGAATCGAGACGGTGGCGGTGTTTGATACCATTTCCGTTATAAATGAGGACATCATTGTCAGGAGGTAGACTATTACAAATATTGGCACCTTGCCAACTCCGATCAAATAATCGCTGATAATTGTTGACAGACCCGACGACTATAAAATGTTAACAATTGTTTAAAAATACAAAATATGCAATGTTCGAGATTGTTTTTCTGCTAAATTTAAACACCGATCGGCTGTTAACATTGCAAATTAATTAAAATGTAGACGAATATTCGTGGATTATACCTGGAAACCAATACAAAATTCTAATATAAAATCTAAACAGAAGAATGCTGCTTCCCTATCTCCTTTATATGAATTATTATGACCACATTAATATTAATTTGCTTAAATAATTAATGACTTTGCTAAACACTATTCTAAAACCGTTATCTATTACTAAAAGGCAGTTATTGTTTAATGATATAATGACTGAAATCAAGTTTGCATATGCTGCTTGAATTGACTAAGCATTTTCCGATTCATTTTGCCGCGAAACGTTTTGACCAATAACAAGTGACTTTCATTATTTCTAATTAGCAGCAACGCATATTAAATTGCAAATCTTAAACTTATATTTATTCGCTTATGGTGCCGAGGAATGACTAGACTTCGCCTAATAGGCCAGCATTGAGATAATTTTGTTCTAAATGAGAGCAAGGAGAAAATTGTCCAAACAGGGTAGTTTGTTTTCAAGTTTTGTGTTAATTCCTACCGTTACTATTTTTGAAAGGGCAAAGCCACCGCCAATTAGAACAACGACTCCCCAAGCGCATTTGGATTCAGCTACAGCCCAGGGTAGGAGAGGTCGATTTATTCTCTGCCAGGCCTCCTTGCCTACAATGTGTTTGTTAGATTATTATCTACAACTTACGAGTTTCGTCTGGTCTAGCGCGTATTTTGAATGGATTATTGAATGGCAGGACCATTGCAAGAAACGCCATCAAAACTATTGGCTGGGTGTCACCGACATAGCTAAAATTTAAATAATTTTATAATAGTGTCTAGGGAGTTTAGAACAGATACGATCCACTTCACTAGGCTTACTTAATAACCCTACTTTTCGAATTCGTTTTAGACGGCATAAGTCTCGACCAACCGGGAATTCCAGGCTCTCTTGTTATCCACAGAATTACCACGGAGATAAAAAGAGTTAAAACTGTTCCTTCTGCCCAACTGAAGTGTATACAAGAAGCGATAATTACGTAGTAGTTTAATGAGGGTGCCGATTAATGTTAACAGATAACCATACGTCATGGGTCCGAGAACTTCCTCTTCTTCGGTAAGAATCTGTTTCACTATACAGGCCAAGGAAATTTCATCATTTTCTTCATGTTTATTGCACTCGTTTTTATTTTCTTCATTTGCAAGAACACTTTCTATTGAACCCGTGCTAAACCTGCGTTTTCGTCTTGAACAGCGAAATAATTGTCTAAAATTTAACAACAAGCCACTCTGTTGCAAAATTTTTGAGCAAATACTGAAAGGCTTTGAAGGTAGGTATTTACTTACTTTGGGCCGAGATAAATGATACAGATCACAAACCAAATGCAGAATAGAGTCAATAGGGATATGGGAAAGGCGTAAGCCATCCATGAACCGAAATTCAGGCCCGTATCTGGTCCATACACACTGCGAAAGTGAATAAATGAATGAGTACTTTTCATCACAACGTTGCCGAGCCCGAAAAATAGCATTATTTATATCAAATGGCAGGCGTTTTGACGGTTATCATTAGCCCTTTAGTTGACTTCAGGCTTCACAGAGGAGAAGGAACATCAAAGTGAAAGAAAGTCGAGAGGGGGGTGGGGGGGGGGACAGAGGAGTGTTTTAAAGACGAAGGTAGAAAAGGTAGAAAAAAGGTGAGGTGAGTACTGTAGAGGTAATCGTATACGACATACAATGGGGTGATGGTAGTTTGAAGTGAGAAGCCAGCTGCCGGTTAATAGACTTTTTTGCCGTATGAGTATACGTTGCCCAGGGTGCACCACGTGGAGGTAAGTCTATCGCAAATAGCATATATTTGTGGAATATTTTATGTAAATATCATTTTCACCTTAGATTAGGATTAAAATTTTGTAAGATATTCTCTACGCTACTAATAAAAATATATACATTCGGCATTTAATTCAGATTAACATTGCCCTTGAGTTCAGTGTGACTGTTCATGAAAGTTTTTTAAATTGGCCTGAGCATAACTTGGTGTTTCTAAGGTGCGACGATCTTAAAAATCCGTATCTTTAGGGTTACTTTAATCCTGCCTATAAATCGATATTATCTTGAAGCGAATATTTGGAGATCCAGAGAAAACGTGAAAATTTAATATATCAATATCGCTACAGACGATGTGCAATAGTCTTCCCTCTACGTGGTGCACACTGTGCATCGTATACTCATACGCCCAAAAAAGTCTTCAAATCGTCAGTTGACTTCAAACTACCATGACCTGACTGTATGTCTTATTTGACTGCTTCCACAGTACTCACTTCACCCTTCTCTCTACCTTGGAGTCTGTCTGCCTCTTTTGCATCTGTGAACCACTCTTCTGTTCCCCCTCACGACCATTTGTAGCTTTGATGCTCCTTTTTCTCTCTGTGAAGTCCGAAATCAACTAAAAGTCTAATGATAACTATCACAAAACCTGTCATTTGATGCAAACAAATAAATGAATATTGTTCCATTTAGGTAGAATAAAAGGACTTGTATCATTATGATGTTAGCATGTTAGTTGGTGTAGTTTATTGCTTATATATATATATATATATATATATGGAATCCTTACTCAGTGAGAAGATTGTAGATGACAAGATTCGTTGGAGTTCCGGTTAGAGTTCCCATGCCTCCAGTACTGGCCGAGTAGCAAACACCCAGGCTGAGGCCGATTCCAAATTTCTCCCATTTGGAGGATTTCTTCTTGGTGAGTTCCTCCACATTTTCATCTCTTTAAAGAATTGTGATAACATGAAATTTCAAAAAATGACCTTAAAGACACAACCTATCTTGAAATTTTAACAGGTTCATATGGCAAGTAATATAATAAACTTGCCTATTTTTAAAAACCAATCATTTTTTACTTTGTCAGAGGAGTTTATTTTGACTATTCCTTTTAGCACTTTTGTTAATCATTTACATGGAATTCTTTTCCTGATTAGAATATTTATATATTCATTTGTTCTATACAGCGAAAAAAAAATGAGTAGAAACATAAATATACAAACTGTTTCGGGGCAACAATGAACTTAGGTATAAAACTTGTCTGTTTCTTCACAAGTACACTCAACACAATTTAATTCACGTCCGGCACTTCTTCGAATATCTTGATTAAAAACCACGAATTTATTTAATTGAATATTTGTTATGCGTCACCCTACCATGGCATTTTCATATATTACTGGGAAAAAATTGATTTGTGCAATATTCTTTTCGATTAATTCAGGGTCTTATTAACTCGTGTCATGCGATTGACTAATCATTAATATATCAAACCCTCCTCCCCCCCCCCCCAACTCCTTTCAGTGATTGTCCACGTAATAAATTAGCTTTGAAATGAGTAGTGATGACTTCCTTCATTCCCAAGTGTTTTTGAGTCGACACAGTGAGGAACCATCTTTACCATTATCATCTGTAATCTCTGCTACTAGTTTCTTCATTTTGGTGTTCCTTTCAAATCATTCTGATTGAGAAAACATCTTAAATTCAAAAACGCTGCACAATTTCCACCTTTAAGAGACAAAAGGAATTCTGTATTCATTAAAATGAATTTCTAAACCCTTTTGTTAATATTTGAATCGCTCCATTGATACCGATTATTCTCAAAATTCCGCACAGAATGTGACAAAGATGCTGCTGAATTTTCAATAAAAATCCCTAGTTGAATTCCCTCCTAAATTATATTCTGAGCTCGCACTATTTGGTGTTGACCTTGTTATTAATAAAAAGCATTAATTTCTTCCTAATTAACATTATAAGATGCTTACTTTTCACTGTCTGACTTCTTCATTGCCACAGTTTCATTAAACCCTAAAAAAGTTGAGAAAATAATGCAAATTTTTTCACTAAGAAAGAAGCGTAGACTTTGATCACAAGACTGACTCACTGTCATTGACTTCATCGATCCGATTCAACAGTGTTTCGGAAATTGTGCTCATTAGCAGTGTTGTGGCGCTGTTGCTCATCCATAAGGATAGAAACCAAGTTGAAACCATTATTCCAAGAATAAGTCTTTATCGAATGGCAGAGAAGA